TGGACAAACGGCAATGGAACTATTGTAAACAACAACAGATTCACGGCGGTGTAAAATCCAAATTTCTTGTCACTTTATAGCGGAGGTGCAAGACCCGTACACTAAGGTGGTTGCCCTAAACAGGGGCATAGTTGGACCATAACCGACCAACGATCGGTCCATTGTGATATGACAAAAACCGTTGAGTACCTAAAACGAAAGTGCGAACCGAGGTGTGTTGTGACCGTAGCTTTTTCAGTGGGGATGCGATGTTGAGCCCACCGTGTGAATACCAATCGAGTGTTGAAAGTTGCGACTTTTTATTCAATAACTCGATTCTCCAACTAGCTTTTTTAATCGATTATGAACAAAAAATATACCCTTATTTTTTATTATGAAATCAAAAAATATTTAGAGGTCGCTCAAAGCGCTCAAAGTTTTCTATTTTTTTATATAGGGGAAAAACGACTTTTCGTAGAAATGGTATGGAATTCTTGAAAATCAATATTTTTCGATCGAAAAACCAGGATAATAATACCCAATAATAATACCCAATTGTTTATTTAAACATTTTATGGGTCCCCCCATTGCATTTTCAGGAGATTTTGGCAGACCTATAAACCAATTGGGTACTGTTATTGGAGGCCTTCTGAAGAGAAACAGAGTTTCCGGATCGAAAAATATTAATTATCAAGAACTCTATACCATTTCTACGAAAAGAGGTTTTTCCCCATACACATAAAATATATGGAAAACTCTCAGCTCTTTGAGCGACCTTATAATATTTTTTGATTTCAGAATAAGAATAGGTGAAATTTTTTTTTTTGTTAAAGAAGAATCCTAGGGGATGAGAGCATTAAAATTCCGACTTTACTTTTTCACATGCTTTTTTTGACTACTCTAATTTGCATACACGCCTTATAATTGCAAAATTTTCCAACAAAATTTCTCTGAATCTGAATTTGATCAAAACATAAAACTACCATAAAAAGGCTGTTTTAAAAACAATTTTTTTGTTATGCTTTTTTTCAATAAAACATATTAGCTGTTGGAAAATAATTAATTTATTTTTTTTCTTTCAACAACCGAGCCACAAAGTAGTAATCGTGCAAAATTTCGCACGCTTCAGAGTAGTTACTCATCAATTTTTTGAATTACAGTAAAATAGACATAAAATACACTAATCATTACAATGAGAGTCAGCTAAAAATGCGAAGCTCAGACGAAAAACCAAATTACAATTTGGTTCCAAAAACAAAACTGGATACAAGCGATAGTGTTATGCCATGACGATTGAAGCGTCAAGCGGTTTTTTTTTGCTGCGATTCACCTGTCAGCGCATGCGTCAACGTATAATTTGCCAGCTACTGTCATAAGCGTCGTGTGGAGGTTTTATTTTATTTTTGTTTTCTAAGATTTTGTTAACTTTACTGTTTTTTATTAACGATTTTTTCTTCAATTTCTAACTAGTTTCCATATTATTTTTTAGTTGTATTTTACCTTTACATACTTATCTATCTAAATGGTTAACTCATTCAGTTTGTCACGATTTCTTTGCCAGAAATCATAAGTCTAAATTTATTTATCCGTATGCATTAGAGATAGTAACGAAACTTGTTTTTGATTTGAGGAATTAGTTTTTTTTCAAATTTTGAAAACAAATTTTATATTCAATTCTGCCGAAGTTGTTGTTATTGTTTTTATGTTGTTGTAAAGATGACACAAAGCATCGAAAGTCGGAAAAGTATAGGACTTTCCATTGGGCTCATCTTACTAAAAACCTACCCCTAAGCGGCCTATTGACTTTGTATGAACATCTGCGAAGTAGCTCCGCTTGGCGCAGCTTTCTTGGGGTACGTGTACACAGAAAGCTGAGCGGCGCCGGACGAATGAAGGTGGCGCGAAGCTTCAAGTGTTCACCTAAATGAGGCGTAGCGCAGCTTTTCGCAAGGAATCGGCTGTAAAGATAGCAAACAAACTTAGCTGCAATGAATTTACTTCAATAGATTTGTCAAAAAATATATTTTTATATAGTTAATTGTTTTTGGTTTTTCCTTCGCCAGCGTCATGAATTTGAAAGCCCTTCTGAAAAAGCATTCTGCTTATGGAAGGATGGGGTTACCACTAACGACGTATTATCCTCAATCTTGACTTAGTGGGGGTTTATGCCTGAATTACTTTCCATTGTAAATTGACAAGCCCTTTCTTTTGATTCGATACCTTGATTGGGATGTTATTGGCCTCATACATAAAGAGTAAGGTACCAGATTTGATCCTAAATAAACCGTTTAAAAACTACCATCGAACATATGTACATACATACTTTGTATGTATGGCAAAAAAAAACGATTACACTCCTCTTTATATATTGAAATATCTTTTTTACAATTTTATACTTCCTCTTTTTCATTTGCCAACCCCTATTCCGTTTTTACATTACATACTTTATAATTTTTCATACATTCATACACTAATTGTAATAAATACATATTGTTTGAAAATTTTTATTTTTTGCCATTTTTCCAGCAATTATAGTTTAACAAGCGCAAATTTAGCTAATCTCATTTCCTATCCAACTTTGTTTGAAAGCAAAGAAAAATCGAAACAATGCCACTTTGTAAAATTTCTCCTACGCGATTTTCAAGATACAAAGAAAAGATGAAAACAAAAAGAAAACTTTATTCATTCATATTTCACTTAAATTTCGCATAATTCAATGCGCACGCAGCTTTATTGCCCACCGCCACACTTTAGCTGCTTATTCACTTGCGCTTAATTCACGCCTACCATAGCTTCCGAAGGCAGTCAATGAGCTCCCACCACCACCACCAACACCATTACCAGTTGGAGGCACCAGCGTCTTTTCGTAGCTCACTCACCATTGCCTCATTGCCTACCCACCAGCCGACCAGTCTGTACCAACACCAAGCGCAAACTTTATTTTTTCTTTCCTCTTTCGAATTAGTAGATATTGTTTTTGTATTTATTTTGTTTATTTTTGCAGACGCTTTGAACCCGCAAAGCCTTTGGCGGTAATCATAAGATTTAGCTTTACTTCCAACCACTTCAGCTACGCCTCCTAACTGCGCACAATACGCGCCTGCTCAATGAGACGCATACAGTTGAACTTCATTGAATTGTAAACCACTCGAAATTTAAAGTGGTTGCAGTACTAAGTACCGAGTGGCAAATTACCTAAACACAATGCTAACTAGTTATGAGCCTAAGCAAATGCCATTCTTTGGCTTTGCATATTTGTGAAGAAAATTTCTATCGTTTACTCTGATTATAACTGATCTCTGATCCGCAGGGAAAAATTGCATTGATTGACCGCGATTTAGCTATAAAATTTGGCTCAATTATTGCTGCATTATAGCACTTCGAGCGCTATGCGTTCATTTGCGGTTTTGCATTGAAATTACCTACTCGTTTTAATAGCAATGACGCTGTGCGAAAGCATTTCCATTGGAGGTCATAATTTTGTATATTATTCTATCGAATTGTGCCTAATGAAACTTTGAAACGATTTCTCTAACTTGAAAAACCGAATGCATTAATGAAATGCACGTAAAGAATTAGAGGAGACTAATCGGCAGAGCCAATCGGCTCTGTTTTGCATTAGCATCACTGGTCACCAAATACCAGCTTATGGGTTCCCAGCCATAGAATTATTGAAGGCAGCAACCTACTTGAAGGAGGGGCCGTTGCACTGGGATGCCCCTCATAGTCCGAAAGAGAATTTAGTTTGCATTATATATATTGGATTGACAAAAAAAATGAGGTCGGATACACAAACTTCCAAAATACCCTAGGAACTTAGGCCCGACTATAAAAGGATAAAGATACTAGATCAAGGACAGAGGTATTTAAAATTGTAGCAACCATTACGGCTCACTGGCTCACGGGCAAACATGTAACAGGAATGCGGTTACCATATGACTTTCCATAGTTGTCAACTAAATAGAAGGTAGCGAAGAAAGTGACCAGCATTTCCTTTGTAAATGCCGAGGTCTAGAAGCTATTAGGCAAAAAGCTTGATGTTTATCATCACTACGAAAGTGCATCAATGCGTCAATTTTATCGCAGCAAGTTACTATGAAGCACTGCTACCAACCAACAGTTTCTCTATCATGAGACCTCCGAGAACCGACTGAACTTGGTTTAGAGAAGTGTTTTTATGCCCTCCCCGTATTGAAAGTGTTATAAGGATGCCCTCCAACTTTCAAGTCGAGTTGACGGTTTCAAGTTGGCGACAAATATATAACTTCCACGTGTTCGAGGCGCGCCTTGAACTTCGTCAGCTTTGTGCGCTGCTAAATAGTGTCCATCTGCCAGTGCTGCCACACAGATGTGAGCTATCTACCGCCATTTTCTTCTCCTTATTTGGTTAGCTACGAGCTATTCTTCGTTAAGTTCTGACACTTCCATTTTTTAGATTGTTTTGGGCCGGACTATTTCGCTTCTAACCCGCACGCCTATTGTCGCTTGCAGGCCGCAACAAAGTTTTATTTCGTGTTTCCCTTCGTTCCATCCTAGTTTCCATCACTCCAATCGATAGGAGCGAACTTTTCCGGCAACTAATTGCGTTAATAAAAGCTCAGCTTGAAGAGCAAAGCAGCTGACTGTCGGTGGTATGCCAATGCGTTGGGGAAAAGTCACCATTAGGGTTGTTTGCGCCAAAACGATACCGACCAATAGTGAGCAAAATAGGAGCAAGCTGTGATGGGGACCGCAAAAGCGCCAACTTCATTTTTCAGAATTACGCGGTCTGCACCAATTGATCGGGAACCAACAGTCATCTAGAGGCGAAAAAGCCCACCCTTGCCTAAGTGCTCGGAGAACACGTTCTCGTATATCAATCTTACCTACAAGGAATGGAACCTCTTTGTCCGATATGAATCCGGACGGCTTCTTAGAGGAAAAATGAAACCGTTATCATCGCTTCAGTTCAATTTTCATTCTTTTTTTATCCAGTTTTGTGCCTAAGGAACGCTTTCTACACTTTAGAGCCAACGAAAATATGATTCAAATCGCATAATTTTAAAACGCCTTCTCTTTTCACATAATCATATTTTATCTAAGTATTTATTTAGAACCAAATAAGCACTTAGAAGCAAGAGTTAATGCTGGGCAAAGAGCCACTACAGTAACGCCAGGTGGACCAAGCAGACCAACCTTGTTGTCTTTGAATCTTGCGAGCGCAACTCACAGAATTGGCGATATTATCGGTTAACAGAGCATTACAGCTCAGGCTGCATTCGTTGTAGGAGAAGCGTCCATTGGCAGGTTGACACCAGTAGTAGTTGTTGATTTGGAAGATGCCATAATCATTGGAGCCATTCGAGTTTGTTGGGCCGACAACGCCAGTACGGTAAGAGCTCTCGTGTTCGGCAATGCAAGTCCAGCGTGCCAATTGATCCTTTGGCACACCCAAACGATACATCTCCTGTGCCAATGAGCAGCGTGTGAAAGTTTTGCCAACAGTTGGAGCGGCCAAGGCTAAAGCCAGAACGACGAAGGCAACAACTTTCATGTTGATAGTTTAGTTGGTAGATGCAAACTTGTGATTGAAAAGCAGAAATCGCATGGCTTTTATACTGAATTTGCTGCAAAAAATTAAATGTGCATCTTAATATCATTATCTATATTTGCAGGTGGCGAAAAGGGGCGATAAGAATATCTTTGTATTGCCCAGTTAAATAATTGCAGGCGTAGATTTTGTGAAAGTGTTTTGCTTCAATTGAAAGTAAACAAAAACACAGTGCTCAAGTGATGTTATCTGCGTCTAGTTACTATTATACATTTTGCATTTCTTTTTGAGACCAGCTCTTACTTGAAGTATATATATGAAAATGGAAATACACTTGGAAGTTATTTTGCCAGACAAATGTGGATTACTGTACTACGAGTATTCTTCTTGAAGTCGTTATAGTTATAAAGGCCATACATGATATTCAAGTAGGCAACTCTTTAAGTTTGTGAACTGTTTTCAACTGCTTGTCGGTTACCAGACAGTGCTGCCATAGCAATTTTTTCCATCAAATGTCTAGAAAAAAAGTACTAAATCATGTGAAATCTAAGTTGAACATTTGAGAACAAATTCGTATGTATGGCAGTGGCTAAACGAGCAAGCTTCCAGCAGTACGAATGCCGTCAGCGCGATACATGTAGTCTGTTCCAATAGCAGTCCGGTTTACAGGATTTAGTCAGAACTTACAGGAAGTCCTTTCTGTTGACATAAAGCCTGTAAGTGGGAACACTTTTGAGAGACTAACTGAGCAACTGTTCCTAGTCAGTTTTTTCCCTGTAAGTTCGTGAAAAGTGTCAAACGATCAGCATATTTGCATGTTCAAACAAAAACGGAAAGCAGTGAAAGCAACAAACCTTATATTTGTAAAAAAAAAAAATGGAAGTAAACAACGAAATATTTGAATATGTATAGCTTTTAATAATTATTTAGAGATATTTCAACCAAATCAGTGTTGTACCAATGACATGTAAACAAACCGACTGACGTTTTTACCGGAAATAGTGCTTTTTGCGTTCCCTTGCACTTCTGCATCTGTTCTCCTTTTACTCTCACTTGAGAGACTAAAATTTTAGTTTGACAGTTCCACAGGTTTTAGTCCGAAGTTCAAAGGAACAGACTAATAATTTTAAATTTTTTTCTGTTTTTGGTTTTTCCTAATTACGAAAAAACCTCTGTGAAGTGCAGAACCAAATCAAACGACGAAGAAAATTGATTCAAGTTGAACATTTGAAGACACACTTACAAAGCGGCTGAGTTTGGTTAATGTAAACAAAATTGTGGTTAATATTACCAAATCATTGTCGAAAATATTAACCAAGGCATTGTTAATATTAACCAAAAATCACGTTGATTCCCTTTCAAGTTTGAATTTGGTAATATTAACCAATTTTTGGTTGACTTTTCTCTCATTGCATGAGCGCCGTAAGAGTTACATATACAAACTACTATAACTTGCTTACTGGTTATCAGTAGAGAAGATAAACATGTGTGCGAAAAATCGCGATTTAAAATTAACGAAATATGCTCAATAAAAAAATGCACGATAATTAAGAAGTTCACAAGGTATACATTACTGTCGTAAACTTTAAAAGCTTAAATAAATGTTTAGAGAACTTGACACCACAACCAACTATTTTTTAACACTTTAATAAAACGACATTTATGCCCTTTTCGGTACCACTTATGAAAATTCCATATACAGTGACTCATTCAAGTGTTCACATGTTAAATTTTTTAATATCCCAAAGGTTTTTCAAGTTATAATTTATTTATTATTGTTTCACAAAAATATAACTCATGCTTTAAACAAAACCATATAAATCAGATTTTCAAACTTATTACCAGGGAACGGATTTTTAGGACCTAAAAACCTATAAAAAANAACTTGACACCACAACCAACTATTTTTTAACACTTTAATAAAACGACATTTATGCCCTTTTCGGTACCACTTATGAAAATTCCATATACAGTGACTCATTCAAGTGTTCACATGTTAAATTTTTTAATATCCCAAAGGTTTTTCAAGTTATAATTTNATCGCGATTTAAAATTAACGAAATATGCTCAATAAAAAAATGCACGATAATTAAGAAGTTCACAAGGTATACATTACTGTCGTAAACTTTAAAAGCTTAAATAAATGTTTAGAGGACTTGACACCACAACCAACTATTTTTTAACACTTTGAAAATTAATAAAACGACATTTATGCCCTTTTCGGTACCACTTATGAAAATTCCATATACAGTGACTCATTCAAGTGTTCACATGTTAAATTTTTTAATATCCCAAAGGTTTTTCAAGTTATAATTTATTTATTATTGTTTCACAAAAATACAACTCATGCTTTAAACAAAACCATATAAATCAGATTTTCAAACTTATTACCAGGGAACGGATTTTTAGGACCTAAAAACCTATAAAAAAAGGCAAAATAAAATAACGAAACAGGCTGGAAAAGGCAAAGTAAAATAGCAAAATAGGCAGGGAAAGGCACTAGAAATCGCAAAAAAGGCAAAAACCGAAAAATAATCAAAAAATACATTTATTTTAGAAATGTTTATTTTACATGTAAAAAGAGGAGAACTATAAATTAGTTTCATTATACGTGTGTTGATACAACTGGCGCCCAATTAGAATATGGACTTTTTCCTTGCGCTTTACAATTAAAGGTAGAAAAGGCAAAAAAGGCTAATATTAAAAAAAAGGCAAAAAAGGTAAAAAAGGCAACATCAAATGTGCATATCTCTATAAATAAACACAATCTCTTCAGCAGAAAAAAAGGAAATTTCCATAAAATCAGTTCCCTGCTTATTACAAACTTTATAAAAATTGAATTGAATTGAATCTTAAAACATTATTGGATATGCAGTTTTATAGCCCAAAGAATTCTAGTCTAATAAAGGGCTAAAAAATCGCGTTGATTTTTTAATAACAAACAACACTTCACCAATGCACTTATAAGCAGTCAGCAATGCTGGGCAAAGTACCGTTACAGTATTTCCACGTGGCCCACGCAGTCCAACCTTGCATACGCAAAATCTTTTGAGAACAAGTCACCGATGCTGAAATGTCAGTAGTGAGTAATTCATCACAGCTAAGGCTACACTGATTGTAGGAGAAGCGTCCATTCGCAGGTTGACACCAGTAGTAGTTGTTGATTTGGAAGATGCCATAATCATTGGAGCCATTCGAGTTGGTTTTGCCGACAGCGTCAGTGCGGTAAGAGCTCTCGTTTTCAGCAATGCAAGTCCAACGTGCCAATTGGTCCTTGGGTACATCCAAACGAAGCAATTCCTGTGCCAACGTACAGCGTGTGTAAGTTTTGCCAAAAGCTGGAGCGGCCAAGGCCAAGGCGACAACGACAAAGGCAAAAACTTTCATGTGGATTGGATGAGGGGTAATAGATTGTGTGAACTACATAGAAGTAATTGACTTATAATGGAATTTTAAGAAAGTGTTCTGCTTTTATAGTAAATTTTTTAGGTTGTAATTATCGGCCGTTGACAGGTGGCAAGTAAAAAGATAAGAGAGTGATATCTTACCTAGTAAGAAAATCGAAGTTCAATTCTACATGGGAGCGATTTCATGTCGAGAGGTCCAAATATTTTGGTTATTGGCGTAAATTGTTCTAAAAATTGGCTTAATGCAAGCTTGAAAAAATTGTAGACTGAAAAAAAAAAATTTAATTTAATAATTTTGGAAGTTATTTACTCTTGAAATTTTTTTAAATAAAAATATCTATGTTTTTAATTTTGTGGCAGCTTTTAGGCAAGAATTTATTTTTTGAGCAAATGGTATTAGAAATTATATTTTTTCGTTTACAATTTGTAGGGCTTTTTTTATTTATATTTTATTTAAAATTGTGGGATTTTCCTTATGTATGTAAATTTCATGCAAAAAAATACAAATAAAAAATGTTATAAAAATGTTAAAAAGAACCGAAAATATTTCACTACAAAAACTGTACCAAAATTTTCAACAATAAATAAATCTCAAAATTATTAAATTAAAAACTTAAGTCTTTTCAAAAAATTTCAACCAACCTGACGGCCCTTTTCTTGTTGGCTACGCAAAAAAGTCGTGATTTAGGCACAAACGCACAAATGTTTAAACTTGAATATTTTTTCAAAAAGACAAGTATGCACGTAATTCGTAACTTTATCACTAAAATGCACGCTTGTGAAATTCTGTTTACATCGCGACATTCAGATCGTGCGGTACACTACACACTTATTGTCTACTCCACAAATAGAGGCATGCTCGATTTTNATCGTGCGATACACTACACACTTATTGTCTACTCCACAAATAGAGGCATGCTCGATTTTTATACAAGTATACTCCAGCCTTTGAAAAAGCAAAATGTTCCACATATGCCGTCAGCTCTCCACAAACTTGACTGGGTTTGCTCACTGAGCCAAGAAGATACATATATTTACGTATTTAAAAACAAAATACTAAAAATTTAAAATTGCATCGATAGTAATAAAAAAAAGTAAATAAATAAAGAAAAAAATAACTTCCCATCCCGGGAATCGAACCCGGGCCTTCTGGGTGAAAGCCAGATATCCTAGCCACTAGACCATATGGGACATTGGAATTTATCTGCTCATTGCAGTACATTAGCTGTTATCTGTTAGCTTCTTACAGTAGTACTAACAGAGACTGTTAATGTAACAGGCCGATTCGTACGAACAGCAGTGCTGGTTATTGGCATTCTGCTAACCGTTTCAGTTGGTAACATCGTAATTTTAACACAAATGTATCCAATTTTGCACATACAGTGAAGTGAAAACATGAGTCCATGGTGACTTCTGTTAAACATTCGCAAGGTTTTTATAGAAATATTTTTTTTTATAAAAATATGGTCTTTGCTTTAACCAAATTCATATAAATCAAAGTTTAGATTTTTAAACAGAGCTTAGAAAATTCAACAAATTTTCATCAAAATTTTGAACTATTTAATCAGAATTTTTGGAAGAATTTTGGGCATGCAATTTTATGCAAGTTTTAGTCGGCTTTAAAATCGCATTGATTTAAAATATTTTTAATATTTTTTGCTGACGGCTTTTGCACCTTTTTTGTTGTATGCATGGAGCCGAAGACGTCGATAACGATGTTTAACCGGCGATTTGTTTTAACCAGATATTGATTAACCGCCCCTTAATTATGCTGCATTTTATTTTTAAAATTTCGTCATATTAAAGTTTTTCTATTGAGCTGCATCAAAACGCATGTGCATATACAGTATCGGTCATATCTATAGCACGCCATTTCAAAGTGATATTGTGTGCCACTTATGTTTATTTATTTATTTTTAAGAATTTTCAATTAAAATACAGTTCTTTCTCTAACAAACCCCATGTAAACCCAAGTTTAACAATTTGTAGAACACTTCAAAAAAGTGCAACAAATTTTCACCTAAGTTTCAAACTTTTTTCTCGGAAGTGTTAGAATTTTTTCGAGTACACAGTTTTTTAGCCACTGCAATTTTAGCCTGATAATGTGCCAATTTCAAGTGGCTACGAATTACCGTTAATTTTTTAGAATTTTTTTTGTCGCATTGGCTTCCCTATAATGAATAAACTCAATTTATTTGTATATGGATGAAAACCGCAACACCCATGGAGAAAAAAATTCTAAAAAATCAACGGTAACTTTCAGTCACTTGAAACTTGCACATTATCAGACTAAAATTGATCGGGCTATAAAACTGTGTATTCAGAAAAATTCAAACACTTCTGAGAAAAAAGTTTCAAATATATGTGAAAATTTGTTGCACTTTTTAAAGTTTTCTACAAATTGTTAAACTTCGGTTTATATGGGGTTTGTTAGTGAAAGAACTGTATTTTAAGTGAAAATTCTCAAAAATAAATAAATAAACATAAGTTGCACACAATGTCACTTTGTAATGGCGTGCTATAGATATGACCGATACTGTATGTATGTGTGTATATACTTTTTACATTTACCCTTATTTGGTTTACAAAGAAATAAATTCAATTTTATTGCAATAAAAGCAAACTCTTTGTGTATGTTAGTCATGTACGTGTCCAATTATTGCCATCGGAGCAAGCGTAGCATAATAAAATATTGCAAAATTATAAAGAAATGCTTGATAGGAAATTCAAAGAAAAGTCAGTAATGAAAAATAGGTAAATGTTAAGAATATTGATAGCGTACAAGTCTAGGTAGAAGAATATGAGAAGATTTCTTATGAAAAGCAAACATATTAAATTAACTAGATATTGTTTTTGTTACTTATTTTAGCTTAATAACAATTCATATTCAATTTTATTGAGTGCATTTTTCATAAAATTTCCCATAAAAATATTAATTTTAGTGGCAAAAATTTTTAGTCTATTTTGTTTGAGTTTTATTGAGTTTAAGAATATTTTTGTGTTCTTCTCCTAATTCAGCAAATTTTTTTACTACACAAATATGAGGGACTAAAATTTGGATCGAAATAATTGACAGTTGTACAGAAGGTTCTCTGCGATCCGGTACTGCGCTTCAAATATGTATGTATGTAACCGCAGCGCATGGTAAAAATTATACCGGGTGTAGTAATAAGAGTGAGACAAAAGATTTGACACTTCTTATTTGGAAATTTGCTTGAAAAAATTTCTTTAAGAATGCCAAATGTCAAGAAAACTAAGAAAATAAAGCGATAAAACTGCTTATAATTTCACCGTGGCTGCAGCGTCACAGCGCACAGGGCGGCATTTTAAGTAAAGCCGGCCCTGTTAAATTCAAATTGATATTGTTATTGTTTATTTATTTATTTTGAATAATTATACCCGAGCGCACTTGTGCACAAGGGTATTATAACTTTGTTCACATAACGGTTGCATGTAACAGGCAAAACGAATAGAGATAGATATAGACAAATATATACTTGTAAATAAATGATCAGGATGAAAAGAGAAATCGATGAAGCGGTGACTGTCTGTCCGTCTGTCCGTCCGTCTGTGCACTCGATAACTCGAGTAAAAATTAAGATATCTTAACGAAACTTGGTACATGTACTTCTTTCGGGCGTAGGACAGATGGTATTGAAAACGGACAATAACCACGCCTACCTCCCATATAACGGTAATTTTCAGAAATACGTAACCTGCGATATTTCAGTAACTACTGAAGATTATTCACTCAAAATTTATATTTACAATAAGTTTTAGACGAAAAATAAGAATATTATAAATTTTTGGAAAATGGGCGTAGCCACGCCCACTTGTGGTTACATGTGTATATCTTGGCAACCGCTGCACCGATTTCTTCCAAACTTGGTACAGTTGTTGGCTTTGGTACAGCATACCAAATGGCCGAAAATTTCGGACAATAACCACGCCCACATTCCATATAAGGGTTATTTAGCGAAATACGAAATCTTCGATAAATCAAATTGACACTTGCAACAATTCTTTACCAAGAAATACGTTTATGGTAAAATTTTGGAAAATGCGCGTGGCACCGCCCACTTATGATCACATATATGTATCTCGGTAACCGTTCTACCAATTTGTACCAAACTCGATGTGGTTATTGTGCTTGCCACATAAAAGCAAAGCGTTGAAAATTATTGAAATCGGCCTAAAATTACGACCGCTTTTCATATAACAATAAATTTCAGAAATTCTTGAAATTTCAATATTTCGAAATTTAAGGACGCTAACTTACTTAAAATTGATACACCCCGGCTTACCATGTAGCGGTAGCTTGCGGAAAGGTGAAAAACATATATTTAATACTTGCGCCGGGTATCTAATGTTCGGCTCCGCCCGAACTTAGACTTTCTTACTTGTTTTCATTTAAAATATAGTTCGATCCATAAGAGAGACCACATAAATAAAAATGTCAAAGCTTACACAAAGTTCACACAAATTTATCAAATTTCAATAAAAATTTCAACCCCTTTATTCAAAATTTTCCAGTTTGAAGCCCAACCAATTTTAGTATAATAAAGCGCAAATTTCAAGTCGCTAAATGTTACTTGGATTTTTTAGAACTTTTTTTTGTCAAAGGTGTCGAGCGTTTTCTTCCATACAACGCATGAATAAAATGTATCTTTATATGGAGAAAAGGCTTAACACCTGCGACAAAAAATGGCTACAAAACTGCATACTCGAAAATTTTCAAAAAATTCTGAATAAAAAGTTCGAAAATTTCAGGAAAATTTTTATAAAATTCGACAAACTTTTGAGATCTTTTAAATATATAAATAAAAAATTTAACCTTTGATATCCGCATGGCACGATGTTATCTACACTATACTACACATGGTCGCTGGATCGTGGATAGACTTATGCTTACGGTGACCATGCGTACTTTATTTCATAGGACAGTCCTTTTTCCAGTCCTTTGACTTTATTTATTTTTCTAAAAATGTATTTTCTTCTTTATTTCAAAACCTGTCCTTTGAAAGTACTTGTTTTTTGATACGATGTCAGACATTACGTTATTTCACATATTACAGCATAGTAGATACACATTTTGTAGAAAGAGCAGAAAATACAAAAAAGCTGGAGAGAGGTTAAGTTACTTTAAATTCTACTCAGTATAAGCAATGTAGAGAGTCACACTTCAGCTACAAGCCCAGTATAGTGGCGTGACCTTATGTGTGCCCCATATACCATCTCATGTAAACTATCCACTTATTTTCCGGATAAGGCTGTGAATACTCAAGGATTCTCAGTCCGCTGGCCAAACGTAAAAGATATGTTTCAGATTACGTTTTAGTATTTAGGTCATTGAAATACGAATATCGTGACCCTTACCATTTTACTTTTGGATGTGTTTTTGGACAACGTTCGTTACCATACTGTAAGCTACGACAGCTGATGCGCTATATGTGGATACAAGCCCCATCTTTGACTGTGTTCTTTTTTAATATTATGCTTCCGGTAAAGCTCGCATAATATTATTATATATATGCGCATAACGAAAACTTGTACTGTACTTTTTTATTATACAACATGGTCACCGTACTTATGCTACGTTATCGATCGCAGCCTTGTACTGATCTGTCTCGACCTAAACCCACAAACGGTTGTAGTGTCAAATACGAAGATTAAAAATAAGAAGAAACCCGTATCGGTTGCTGCAATCCACTTTGCATTCTAAACTAAACAACTATGTACATACAAATACCAGTTATTTAACCATTGTTCTGGCATTTTCTAAAATGCTGCACTGTTATACATTTGCAATATTTATTTATTACATTTTCCCTGTAACTATGACCTGATGATGCATACATACATACAGACATACTTTCTTCTGGTTATTCCCGTTCATATAAATTACAAAACTGTATTCATTACGTTTACTATCAATCCAGCAATACTATAATTTGTGCATACTTGCGCTAACCCTATTCTTCTTTAACGGTTCCTTATTGACCGTTCAATATAATTTTCTTCACTTCAACTTCAACTTTTGACAATTTGGAATTCCAAAGCGCGGATTATGACAGTTGTCTTTACAGCTTATTGTTAACCATTTCGATGAGGGCATCGAGCGAGGAGTGGTAAAGGAAAAAAGTTCAGTATGAATACATATAAAAAAAAACTATAAACAGTTGTAGTTTGAATATAAAAAAATAAAGGTATCCATTTTTAAGTACAAAAAATAATAATACAATAACACATTTAAGTTTTATACGCGTACCTACACAAAATCTTGAATGAAAACCTAAGTGCACTGTTCTGTAGGCGTTAATCGGAATTCCATCAGCGACAGGTGTCAGTGGCGATTGCCGGCTTGCCAAACAATTGTGTCCGCCGTAACGTGGTGTAGATTGTCAATAAAACATGTATTGAAAAACAGTAAAAACAAAAACAAAGAGGCATTGGAAAAACGTACAACGCAATTTCTAGGCTTTGGTTTTGCTTACCGGCTGCTAGTTGCGAGTTGCGGTCAGTTAACTTGCATTGGGCGGCGGTTCTCGGTTTATTTTGTAAAAACAATAATATTTTATGGTTTGTTTATTATATCTATAGTCACATACTTATGTCGGTATGTATGTATTAGCATATTTCTTTATTTTGTTTTTAAAAAAAATTCTTAGCTATGCATTTTCTCCGCATTAATATTTACTCAGTGTTACATTCATAATCGCATTTTTTTGATCACCTTAAAAAATTATTATGCATTTCTTGTCATCAGCAAACGCTTGCCAGTAATCAGGTATGCATTTTCATAATTATATTCATTTTTTCTGTTGCTCGAGGACATCCAAGCGGTTTAAAGAAACTTAACCTAATGCGAAAGAGGCGCCGAGTAGCCTTTCTTTATGTCTAGTTTATGGAAATTTGGTTTTAATTGTTTCTATTGTAAGACATACAAGAAGTAAAGAATGGCAGCTTGTAAATTATAATTCTTATGAGTCACATAAGTATGTATTTCGTATTGGTTATGGTCTTTATAATAAAAATCATAGTTTAACCGTTAAAATTTGGTTTTTGTTTTTCCGACCAAATTTAATCATTATTTAAGGCATTTTATATTTTCGATCAAGAATAATCTTTTTTTATTATATCTTTTTCTATCAAATAAATCTATACAGTGCTGTTACCTTTCAAAAGGGTGGAAAAGTGTTTCTAACATAAATTAGGCATATTCAGGACATCGGTAGCTAGATCGGCGTGTTTGTTTCTACACGAGTTCTCCCTGGCCTGGAAACCTTGCGCAAGTCGTTTGAGTTTCTGGTAAATGTTTGGGTTTTTTCCTGTCAGCTATCATTTCAAGCTCTACGCATTCGCGTATTTCGATCTCGCATCCTTCTTTTACACCCAAATAGCTCGCAATGTGCCCTCAAAGTATCTAAGGGTAGAAAAGGCCCATTATAGTTGACTACTATCGTTTTGGCATTATTCTGTTGAGGCCCTGAAATTTATGTTCTACAGCATAATCATTTGTATCATTTCCTATGCCCAAACGCACTTGCTTACATATGTATATGTATGTATGTATGTCAAAATATTTTACATTTATCTGTTAATTTATCTTAAAACTCCAAACCGAAAACAGCCACTCTACGTCAATCTATCTGCCTGTATAGCGGTTTTATCAGTGAATCTTAATAATAAAGAAAATAAAATACTTACGTAGCATGCGCCTTCTAAATTTAGACGCGGTAAACTTGAAAACCGCTGCGCAGGCGCAACGAAAACCACTGCTGAGGAAAATTTTTTGCCTAATTTTTGTTTTATTTCTGCATTCTTTTTTGCTTTTCATTTCTTAATTGCATTAAAAGTTGCCGCTGTCACGCCTGCACTCAACGCAAAGCTTTAGACAGTTCCACGTTGTTTTTGTGCGATTAAATCCAACCAGCGTGCGTGTTCGAGCCTATGCTAATTGCATTGATTTAACGTCAAATTAAAGTTGTTGCACAAATTGTTATTATTTGGATAAAAATATTTGACAAACCATTTATTACGGATAATATTAGGCGAAATCACTGCAAGTAGGAAGTTAAAAAGTGGAAGCCCCATCCAAATAAATTTTAGTAGTTCAGGATATGAAATATTCAAAGGCTACTAGTAGGATTTTTTTAATTTTATAATTAAAATGTTAATTTATTGTTGTATTGTAATTGTTACAAAAAAGCTTCTTGTTTTGTGTGACTCCTCATTTATACCTACGGTGAGCAGATTTCTGCATCGAATCCGAACATACAATTTTGTTTTTAGAATAAAAAGGCTTAATACAGTTTTACTTAAAACAAAACAAAGAGAAAAATAATTTAAAAATGTTTATTATATTTGTATGAAAATATAACTTACTATCTAAAAAAAAAAAAAAACAAAAACATGTAAATCAAAATTTAAAAATTTGTAGGGATTTGAGTAAATGTTTATCACAATTTGAAACATTTTAATCAGATTTTGTAGAATATAAAGTGCAATTTGGAAGAAGTTTGGACTTATCATTGATTTTTGGGAATTTTTTCATTGCATTTTCTTCCATACACAGTATGTTCAAAAATGTTCAAAAATTTTGTAAATCTTAGCTACTTGAAATTTTCGCTTTGAATCGAATAAGTTACAAACCTGCATACTCGGAATGTTTCTAAGAAATCTAATTAAAAAGCTCAAAATTTTGATGAAACTTTGTCAAAGTTTGCTAATTTTTGTACAAAGTTTCAAATTCTGACTGACATGGTATTTGTTAGATAACGAGCCACACTTTCATAAAAAGGAATAAACAATAAGGCTGAATTTCTTTATTCATTCTGAACGTTTGGAATAAACTTTTTTGTTTACTTATTCTTTAGAACGTTCCTGATGATATGTTAACGTATATTTCAAACGTATTCTGTTTATTCCGGCTGTGAAATGGGATTATCCGGAACGTATAAAGAAACGTAGCCTAAATAATCGAAAGAGAATAGCCAAAGAAAGCTAAAATCTCTCTCCCTAATTATATTTTCGCAACTCTATCTAAAACTTATGTTTTTCATATCCACGATTTTTTGATGGTATTAGTATTATTTTTTAATAATTTCGTTAATTATATTATTATTTTGTTAATAAGGATGCTGGCTATGTTTATGGCTCACTTATATGCTATGTCCTTTGTGATAACGAAAGTGCTGCCTCGTTTGTATAGGGAGAAAACACTGAAATTCGGGACTTAATCGGTACAAATATGAAAAATCGGGACACTTATACGTCCCGTCTTTTAAAAAATATTCAGCGGTACAATATTCTCAAAAACGGTACTATCCCGTCAAAATCGTACGAATGGTCACCGTATTTATACCTCTTTTCGTTAAAGAGCGTTAACATAAATTTCATCTGTTATCCTTCACATCCTTTACATATGTTATGATTCACATAAGGTCCTACTGTTAACAAAACATAGTTAACTCATTCTGCTTTAGTACTGCTTTAAAAGCGGCGTTCTTAACAGTCCTCGGTAGTATAGTGGTCAGTATCCCCGCCTGTCACGCGGGAGACCGGGGTTCGATTCCCCGCCGGGGAGGTATATTTTTTTTTGTAATAAATATATTATTCGTTTTTTTTAATTCACTCCTATGCACTTGAATAATGCTTTTTCTTGTTTTCCTGGGTATTTTTTTTAACTTTTACAGGTCTATTCTGCAACTCATAAGCCGGTAACAAAACATTGTCTCCCAAAATATGCAATGCCAGATTTTCCACAATTTTTCATGAATTGCTGAATATATTAACTTAAAAACACTCAAAAAAATTTTCTGAACTAAACTTCATCCCCCGTTTAAAATTTCACTTATCAAATCTTTCAGACCAAAAAATATTTTAATTTATTTTTTCTATCTACATAAGTAACGCCCGGCATTTCACATTTCACACCCATCGCATAATTTAATTAACTCCACAATTACGCCCAACACATCTGACAAGTGAGTGAAAAATTACAGAGACAATTAACGTATTTTCCTGCTGTCCATTTAGTGTCATTTTTATGGCGATTTTCCTCCACCTAAGCAACAAGCGCTGCGCGTGTGGGCTATCAGCAAAATTAAAAGTAAATAACGAAGAACATAAATTACCTACATTCAAATGCATACTTGTAAATACAAAAAAGTCATGGACTACGCCGTAGTAAAACACGTTTAGCGGCGACTGTAACGTTGAATATAATAACGCTTTAAAATTTCAAAGTTGGTGGCGAAAAGCTGACGACAGCAACAACTTAATCACAATCAGTGGAAAAGAAGACGTGGTACAAAATTTCTGTGTATGTATGTATGTGTGTGCAGGATAACGACGCAGTCGTCAGGGTCGTCAAAGTCTGAAGGCTAGTTAGGAGTGCAAATAGTTGCTGAAAGAAAGAAATTCTTCCAAGCCCACAACATTAATCAAACTGTGCTGGAGTCGGCAAAGTGCATGCGCATACCCATCCCTAGGTATAAATCAAATGTAAAAATGCCTTAAGTGAAAAGCGGCAGTCAAATTAGTTGTCTAATCGATACACTCGCTGCGCCTGCGCAGTACTCAATTAAAGCTTTCAACTTCATTAGCCGGCTGGCAGTTAAGCAATGCATTATCGAAACTTGCATACTCCAGCCTTCAATGTTACTTGCAATTGATGAAAATTTTTATTTATTTTTTTGCCTTTTTTTTAATTTTTTAATATTCACTTCATTAATAATAAATAATCATTTTCTATTTGCTATTTCTCCTTGCAGTGACATCTCCGCCTATTATCAGCAACGCTACGCGCCCACCATTCGGCAGCTTCACCAGCAGCAGCAGCAGCAACAGTTGCCAACACAGCATAAAAATCATCATTCGCATCAACGTCAACAACGCCACATAAACAACTATCCGATGGCGCCAAGTGTTTGTCAAAATTCGCCAAAATTAACTGCACCCTCTACGCATGTAGCGACGGTGACCACGACCATAGGCGGTGCTGTTGCTGGCGCTGATGGTCCCGGTGTTACCACCATCTCTGCACCATCCATCACGCAAAAGAGCAATTGCGGTGGCAGCAGTATTAACGGCTCCATGGCTTCGTATAAAATGTCAAGTTCGGAGAATAGCTGGTCGCAACCTGTTTTCAATAAGGTGCGTAAGCAATTCAAGGATATTTTAAGTTGTATACATAAGTTTCACTTTCCATCAATCCGCGCAGTAAATTAAATGTAATTAATGCAGGTAGTTGAAAAGTGCTGCTAGTGAATGTTAGCCAGCATAAAGCATGTGCTGTAAATAGCACTCAACTAACAGCGCATTGCGGTATTTTATTTAGCAGTGTAGTTAACTGCTGTAACCTGTCCGCATTGCATTTGCTGCTTTGCAACGGATTTAACAGTTTCTTCTCTCTAGCAGTCCGTTGTAAGTGAGCGCCGTAATGTAAACTACAAGTATTGGTTGGCATGTTGCGTGCAGTGGCTGTAATATTACGCTTTTAGCTATTTGTTGTTAACAGTCCCGTATTGTCTAGTGGTTAGGATATCCGGCTCTCACCCGGAAGGCCCGGGTTCGATTCCCGGTACGGGAAATATGGCTTTTTTCATTTCATTATAACCAAACCGGAACATTGTTTTTTTTGTTAATTATATATTTAAANTATGGCTTTTTGCATTATAACCAAACCGGAACATTGTTTTTTTTGTTAATTATATATTTAAAATTGTATGTATTTAAAAAGATACATTTGTTTTAATTATATATGTATATTAATAGCCACATAGAGGATTGCTATTTCTTTGAAATTAATTATATTAGTATTTCAATACATACGTAATTTGATATATAAAAAAGTTCTTCTGTGAAAAAATTACATACTTATTTAAAAATTATATTATTATATTCCCCTATTTTGCTCCAAATACAATTACTCGCGAGGACCGCTTTCCAATTTAAGGCTGTGTGCTTAATTTAGGTGTTTAAACCATGGAATGTGCTCGTCTCCATCCAGAAAATAAATCATTCGCAAATAATGCAATTGAATCTATATATCAAGCCGTGACCGCCAAAAAGATGTAAGCGACATATTTTCCAAAATTTTCTTTTTGATGCAGAAACGGATGCATTTCGGTTAGGGCTAGATATGTATGTACATACATATACATAGTTTTTTTTAACAATGTTGTACAACTAAACAATTTATACAAAGTTTGTAAAANCGAAAATAAATCATTCGCAATTAATGCAATTGAATCTATATATCAAGCCGTGACCGCCAAAAAGATGTAAGCGACATATTTTCCAAAATTTTCTTTTTGATACAGAAACGGATGCATTTCGGTTAGGGCTCGATATGTATGTACATACATATACATAGTTTTTTTAACAATGTTGTACAACTAAACAATTTATACAAAGTTTGTAAAAATTTATAGTCTATGGTTAAAATTTTATTAAAATAAAACCTTCCCGTACCGGGAATCGAACCCGGGCCTTCCGGGTGATACTAACCACTAGACAATACGGGACTATTGAGGTCTATCTGCCAAGCGATGTAGTTATATTTTTGTGCTACTCCCCTGCAANATTGCGGTCTATCTGCCAAGCGATGTAGTTATATTTTTGTGCTACTCCCCTGCAAAAATCGCGACTACTCCATGCATGCATGTAAAGAGTACTCCCGAAGGACCAAGGAGTACTCCAAAATTAACCACAATTCATATAAAAAAGTCCTGAAACAGCCCCACACACAAGCAGCATTTGCAATGGCGTCTTTTTAGCTGAGTCGCTAAATCAACC